ATAAAAATCTCTTCACCATCTTTCAGATAGCAATTTTTTTCATTGCTTCCTCAGTGTAAGCAAATATTCTTTTACATCATCCACTCTTCTTTGAACTTTTCTGTACTGTTTGAATATCTCAATAATGATTATGCATCCTATTTTTAAAAGAACAACAAACTAAAAAAATAAAAAGGAAAAGGAGGAAGGTGAGGAGAAAAAGAATAACAAAAAAGACTTGTGATCCTAAGCATATAAACAGCTCTGAAATTTCAGGAAAACGGAAAAAGAAAAACAGGAGAAAGGCAAAGGAAGAATGATCATTTATAATATTACTAAATTGGGCCAGGCACAGTGGCTCACACCTGTAACCCCAGTACTTTGGGAGGCCAAGACAGGTGGATCACCTGAGGTCGGGCATTCAAGACCAGCCTGGCCAACATGGTGAAACCCTGTCTCTACTATAAATACAAAAATTAGGCATGGTGGTGGGCCCCTGTAATCCTAGCAACTCAGGAGGCTGAGGCCAGAGAATCGTTTGAAACCAGGAGGCAGAGGTTGCAGTGAGCTGAGATTGTGCCTTTGCACTCCAGCCTAGATGACAAGAGTGAAACTCCATCTCAAAAAAAAAGGATTACTAAATTGGGCTACATACCTTTAGAGGTCGTGGGATTTTCGTGAACCTCTAATTCACAGATTCCCAAACCACTTTTTAAAAACATTGCTCTGAATAAACAAACAAGCCACTGCCTTGGCCCACCCCATCTTTGACCTACTGAATCAAAATATCTGGAACGGGATTTGGAATCTGCATATTGACCAGCCCACTCAAGGATCTAAAGCCAGCCCCTGGCAACCACTAATCTACTTTCTGTCTCTATGGATTTGCCTGTTGTAGATGTTTCATATAAATGGAATTATGTAAGATCTGGCTTCTTTCACTTAGCATGTTTTCAAGGTCCGTTCATGTTTTAGAATGAATTGGTACTTCATTCCTTTTCATGGCTGAATTAACGTTTCATTCATTGCTATACCACCTTTTGACTCTCCATTCACCAGCCGATAGGTATTTGAGTTGCTTCCACCTGTTGGCTATTGTCAGTAGTATTTCTATGAACATTTGTGCACAAGTTTTTGCTCGAACATCTGGGGTTTTTGTTTGTTTGTTTTTGGCTTGAGGTTTTTTTGTTTTGTTTTGTTTTTCAGAGATAGAGTCTGTTTGTCACCAGGCAGGAGTGCAGTAGCACCCTCTTAGCTCACTGCTGCCTTGTATTCCTGGGCTCAAGTAATCCTCCCACCTCAGCCCCTTAAGTATCTAGAACTACAGGTATGGTGCCACCACACCCTGCTAATTTTTTTTAATTTATCTGTAAAGACAAGGGTCTCACTATGTCGCCCAGGCTGGTATCAAACTCACATTCTCAAGTGATCCTCCCACCCTCGCTTCCCAAAGTACTGGAGTTACAGGTGTCGGCCATCACACCTGGCCGTTGGACACCTGTTTTTAGTTCTTTTGGGTATATACCTAAGAGTGAAATTCCTGGGTCATACGGTAATTCCATGTTTAATTTTTTGAAAAATCACAGATTTTTTAGGGTTTGGTTTGGCTTTCTGAGATGGGGTCTCATTCTGTTGCCCAGACCAGAGTGCAATCATGATCATAGATCATTAGAGTCATGATCTAATCCCAGCATTCTGGGAGACCAAGGCAGGTGGATCACTAGAGGCCAGGAGTTTGAGACCAGCCTGGGCAACTTGGTGAAACCCTGTCTCTACAAAAAATACAAAGTTTAGCTGGGCTTGGTGGTGCACACCTGTAGTCTCAGCTACTTAAGAGGCTGAGGCAGGAGGATCGCTTGAACCTGGGAGGTCGAGGCTGCAGTGAGCCATGATTGCACCACTGCACTACAGCCTGGGAGACAGAGTGAGATCCTGTCACAAAAAAAACAACAAAAAATAAAATACTACAAAACAAGTTGCATGAAGATGAAAGTCACTAAACCAAGAGAAAAAAAAGGTGGGAAGGCAAGTAATAAAAGAGGATGGCGAGAAGGATCGATTTTGTCAGAAAAACTGAATAACAACAGCTAACGTTTATTGAGTGTGTGCTTTGTGTCAGGCTCTGCTAAGTGCTTTATAATCTTTTTTTTTTTTTTTTTTTTGAGACGGAGTCTCACTCTGTGGCCTAGGCTGGAGTGCAGTGGCATGATCTCTGCTCACTGCAGCCTCCAAATCCTGGATTCAAGCAATTCTCCTGCCTCATCCTCCCGAGTAGCTGGGACTACAGGCACCTGCCACCATGCCCAGCTAATTTTTGTATTTTTAGTAGAGACAAGGTTTCACCATGTTGGCCAGACTGGTCTCGAACTCCTGGCCTCAGGTGTTCCACCCACCTCTGACTCCCAAAGTGCTGAGATTACAGGCATGAGCCACTGCACCCAGCCAGTGCTTTCTTTATAATTGACTCTTCACAGCAATACTGTGAAGTAGGCGATGTGGTAGGCTAATGTTATTAGCCCCAGACGCACAGAGCTAATAAGCAGCAGAAGAGTATAGATTCAGATCCAGGCCTCACTCCAAAACCTGAGCTCTCGGCACCCTGGTAGCCAATGCAAAGATGGAAACATCGGCTCTAGAAAGCCCCTACCACAGAGGCTGGCAAGACAGACAATGCCCAGTAAGTTATTTCCCTGTCCATTCTCACGTTAACTTAAAGAGAGAAACTTTTTCTTGACCTTAAACTTCACAAGATTTGACCCTGTGGCTTTGTACAAGAAACACTAATACGACATGGTGGGTAATGTCCCCCAGATCGATGTTACCAGAAATGAAGCAGCATGGCCATCATATGAAAACAGAGGGTACAATGTTAGGGTCTTAATTTATTAAGTGCAGTTCTGTCGGGAGCCAGGAGCTCAGACAGTAGATAGCAAGCTTTCACTTTACCTTTTATTTATTTATTTTTTGAATACGGAGTCTCACTCTGTCACCCAGGCTGTAGTGCAGTGGTGTGATCTTGGCTCACTGCAACCTCCAGCAATTCTCCTGCCTGAGGTTCCTGAGCAGCTGGAATTACAACCACATGCCACCACGCCTGGCTAATTTTTGTTTAGTAGAGATGGGGATTCACCATGTTGGTCAGGCTGGTCTTGAACTCCTGACCTCGCAATCCCCCCACCTTGACCTTACAGGTGTGAGCCTCAGCACCCGGTCCTCACTTTACCTTTTAGTCTCTTACCTGGAAATGGTCTATGGCAGACTTCTGCTGCCCTCTGATGATCAGAGCATGAAGCACCCAGCAAATAATTCCAGTCACGTGCAGGCCTCTTTGCTTATATGGCTGACTCTGTAGGAAGCTGGGCTTCTTCACACAATCCCTTGACGAGAAGACTTAACTTGTATACAAAAGGGAAGACATCTCTCCCAACTCAAGAGCAACTCACTTCGAGGATACACTCTGGGCCTCCTGCCTTCCTCACAACATCATGCGCTGAGGGAGCAGTGGAGGCTGCAGGGGCCCATGGTCCTGCTGGGGCCAAAGGCAAACGTGGAGTCGGAGATTTCTACAACCAGATGGTCAAGGAATGGGCTGGAGAAGCGGGCAGCTGCGTGGCTCTGATCAAAGAACAGGTCTTTCTCAGCCCACACTGGAGGATTGGAGACAGAGCCCCAGACATTCCTGCCCATGACGAGGAACCTGAGGAGCAGGGCAGGGGAGGAGGGTGGCTTTTCAACCTGGTCAGAGGCTAATTTCAGAGTACAAGATGAGGGAATGGGATCAAGGTCCTCTGAGACCTGCTCCCAGGTCATTTCAACCTCAGGACTACACTGAAATGGACTTTAAACCTGAGGAAGGAAAGGTCCTAACAGCTTCTCTAGTTCAGGGTACAACAGTAGAGAAAGCTTCCCAGAAAGAGCTGGGGATGGGGAAGAGGCCTGGGAATCTGGCCCCAGCTCAGCCTTTAACCTCCAGCTTTCAAATGTAACCCTTCAAGACTCTCTCTCTCAGCCTCCCAAGTAGCTGGGATTACAGGCACACACCACCAGGCCTGGATAATTTTTGTATTTTTAGTAGAGACAGGGTTTCACCAGGTTGGCCAGGCTGGTCTCATACTCTTGACCTCAAGTGATCCTCCCGCCTCAGCCTCCCAAAGTGCTGGGATGACAGGCGTGAGCCACCGTGCCTGGCCACTGCTGAGGTTGTGTGCCTTCTCCCCCTTGTTTTCATACTGGCATGTGAAATTCTGGTTTCTACCTAGTTCAGAACATTCATCTCTTTTGAGTAGAGTAGACGTATGTCAATGTTGCCTGGTCTGAAAGAGTGGCTGGAATGAGCCTCGCAGTGGCCATCCCAGGGGCACCCATGGCTCCAGGATCATGTTGCAGGGAACTGGAAAGGGCCAGTGTCTGTGTGGTGGGCTGCTCAACGTTTTGGCAGATCCCTCCTCCACTGTTTTATCATTTTGTTGTTTATTTAAAAACTCAATACATGCGCATAGTTTTTTAAAACTCAGTATGTTATCACACCACCACACCCAGCTAATTTGTGCATTTTTAGTAGAGACTGGGTTTCTACTACTTGGCACAGCTACTCAGAAGGCTGAGGCATGAGAATTGCTTGAACCTGGGAGGCGGAGGTTGCAGTGAGCCGAGATCATGCCACTGTACTCCAGCCTGGGCAACAGAGTGAGACTATGTCTCAAAAAAAAAAAAAGAAAACTATCCACTCACCCCTATTCTACCCTCAAATGACATTCTCCAATAAAGAAATAAGTTCAGCAGTTCTAAGAAAGGCTGACCTCCACCCCTACCAGGGCTTGAGAAAGACATCTACAGCAGGTCACTCTCAGTTTACTTTCCACCCATCTCTCCCCTAGCCACACCCAACCAACACTCATTTTCAGTGTTCTCAGAAAGAACAGATTACCCATCTGTCCTAAATATGTAAATCATGTAATCCCACAGGCACGCTCATACCCTCTCCCGTATCATCTAAATCCTCAAACAGCACAGACAAGAGGTCAGCACCAGGCTTTATTGGTAAAGAGAAGCACCACACACCCAATGCCCAATCCAGGGCCGTTTCCCAGGCCCTGGGCAGCAGCAGGAGTAGAAGCAGAGCAGAGAGGGCCATGAGTGCCCCTGAAAATGTCACAAGCCCCAGATGTCACCCTCTCTTGACTGACAGGAACAGCTTCCAGAGTTACCAAAGAAGCTCCAGACAAATCAGCACAGCTAGGGCACCGGGATCTCTGCAAGTAGAAGAGATATCAAGTCACAGCTGTGCCCTCCTGGCTTCAGTTACCCAGCACGTTTCCCCTCCACCCTAGGAAAGCTTGGCCTATATTGTTCTCAGATGTCTTAAACGGCTCCTTGCTTCCCAGACAATCCGATCCCAACTAACACTGCAGACTCTTACTATTCAGATGTGAATCTTATATCTCCTGTTAAAAATAAAACTGGTGATATGGCCGGGCACAGTGGCTCACACCTGTAATCCTAGCACTTTGGGAAGCTGAGGTAGGCAGATCACCTGAAGTCAGGAGTTCAATACCAGCCTGGCCAATATGGTGAAACCCCATCTCTACTAAAAATACAAACGTCAGCCAGGCATGGTGGCAGGCACCTGTAATCCCAGCTACTCAGGAGGCTGAGGAAGAAGAATTGCTTGAAACCAGGAGGCAGAGGTTGCAGTGAGTTGAGATCATGCCATTGCACTCCGGGCCTTGGTGACAAGAGCAAAACTCCATGTCAAAAAAAAAAAAAAAAAAAAAAAACCTCAAGATATGTCTGTGCCTTTACCCACCCTGCCCGCACTTCTCCCAAACATATCGCACACATTCCCACCGTGTTGCTTTGCCTGCAGTCACCAGATTACTTGTCTGGCATGTTCCTGGGCTATCCTCACTTGGTCACATCCGCCTAGGCTTAAGGACCTCAATCAAATCCCACCTTTCCCACAAAGACCTTACTAGGGAGCCACACCTGGGAACAGGTGTCAGCCTGTACTGTTTCTATGAGGGTTCTCATCTGCGACATAGGTTCTTTCTCTCCAGCTAGACTTTTCCTGGCCTTCTGAAGTCCCCTTCCCAGCACCTAGGCCAGTGCTTTGCACACAACAGTTGTCTATTGTTGTTGATGACAATGGACAGTACTCACTTAATTCAGAATCAGATCTCACAGTCCAGTTGGGGTTCATGGTCAGTTTTGGGGGGAGGACTGGTGGGGCACAGAAGCGGCCACAGCCTGACTTGCAACACTTTTCTCCAGCTTGACAATTCTCATCCATCACACAGCCGACAATGCACAGGCCCACCAGAACTTTCGGACAATTACCGTCCCGCCCTGTGGGAACAACAGGCACAGGTAAAGGGACAGGACGTCAACTCTGCCATCTCCATGTTCCCATCTAAAACTTAGACACAGAGGCTCCAGGTCATTCAACCCCTGATTCTAACTAGACCCAACTCAACTGGCTGGGAAACCATGGAATTGGAGGATCTGAGAATCTTCAGGAACCCAAGAGACCTCTGAGCCCACAGTTTTCAAATGGTGCCCCAAAGGGGAAACTTGGGGATTGACACCTCTGCAGGTTTGGGGTAGGGTGGGGTGGGTGGAAGTATGTCAGGGCCAAGGCTCCCTCTCCCCTTCTGCTTGGGATTCACAGAGTAACTTCCTCACGGTGGCCTCCTCTGCCACCCTAGACAGGGTTTGATGTCCCCGCTTTGTGCTCCTGTAGCACCCTGTATGCTTCCTCTCATCAAACTTTATGGTAATTCATTAATTCCCTTTATGGTAATTCCTTATTTAAAAGGAATATGTCTATCTTCCCTGATAGGCTATAAGCTACATAAGGACAAGAGTCTGTCCCTAGCCTTGAGCATTGCCCGGGAATCTAAAGGGACTAAGATAGCACCAGGGTCAGTGATTAATGGAGAACACAGTACCTGGCACTCAAAGTTTTTTTTTTTTTTTTTAAGACGGAGTTTCGCTCTTGTTACCCAGGCTGGAGTACAATGGCGCGATCTCGGCTCACCGCAATCTCCGCCTCCTGGGCACAGGCAATTCTCCTGCCTCAGCCTCCTGAGTAGCTGGGATTACAGGCATGCGCCACCATGCCCAGCTAATTTTTTTGTATTTTTAGTAGAGACGGGGTTTCACCATGTTGACCAGGATGGTCTCAATCTCTTGACCTTGTGATCCACCCGCCTCGCCTCCCAAAGTGCTGGGATTTGAAGAAACAAAGGAATTGGAACAGGAATGCTTTTATCTGTTTATATATATTTTATCTGTTTATATAAAATAAGATTTTATTTGGGGTAGGGGAGAAGCTTCTTGTTAAAAAATAGATCTGAAAATCAATGATCTTGGGCAACTCCCTCATTTTACAGATGAAGAAACTTAGACTAGAAAAGAGAGACTTGCAAGGCTGGGTGTGGTGGCTCACACCTGTAATCCCAGCACTTTGGGAGGCCAAGGCGGGCAGATCACCTGAAGTTGGGAGTTCGAGACCAACCTGACCAACATGGAAAAACCCCGTCTCTACTAAAAATACAAAATTAGCTGGGCGTGGTGGTACATGCCTGTAATCCCAGCTACTCGGGAGGCTAAGGCAGGAGAATCACTTGAACCTGGAAGGTGGAGGGTGCAGTGAGCCAAGATCGTGCCATTGTACTCCAGCCTGGGCAACAAGAGTGAAACTCTGTCTCAAACAAAAAAAAAAAAAAAAGAGGAGTTTGCTTACCCAAGGTCACAGAGCAAAACGAGCAAAATCTCAGTAGGGTCAAGATCATAAGCCACACTGCCTGTCTTCTAGCCCAAGTAGTTCCTTCTGCCCCACAGTGCCTTCCCCTAGTTCTTTTAATGCTCACAGAGCCCCCTTGGTCCCAGAAGGAGAGATTGCTTTGTGTTGAGGGACTACAGGGAAGAATGAGAATCCTAGCTCCTCCCAGGAAGGGAAAGATAAGCACTCTTCTCAGGAAATAATCAAGGATTTCTTCCCAAAAGAGCCAACATACCTCCCTCAATGTCTCCAAGGCAGGTGCGACCACAGCCGGTGCTGCAGCATTTATGCCCCTGGGGACAGGATGCATCCCCATCACACAGCTCCTCACACGGAAGGGGGTTGGCAGGACATTCACCAACAAACTCTGCTATAGAACCAAAGCACTGGAGCCCAGAGATGCTCAAGGCCACAGTATGAAACACATTTTTCATTGTGTCCCATGTGTATGTTTATATATAGTTGTATATTTATAAACATACATTATTACAGACATAATGTACATATTCATGTGTATCATATATCTACAATACATTCTGAATTTTTTTTATTATACTTTAAGTTCTGGGGTACATGTGCAGAACGTACAGGTTTGTTACATAGGTACACACGTGCTGTGGTGGTTTGCTACATCCATCCCCCCATCAGCATTCTCAATTTTTTAAGACATAGTCTCAACTCTGTTGCCCAGGCTAACGTGCAGTGGCACAATCATAGCTCATTGCAGCCTCAAACTCCTGCACTCAAGGGATCCTCCCACCACAGCCTCCTGAATGGCTAGAACTACAGGCACATGCCACCATGCCTGGCTAATGTTATTTATTTATTTTGTAGAGACAGGGTCTCACTGTATTGCCCAGGCTAAAGTGCAGTGGCACAGTCATAGTTCATTGCCGCCTCAAAGTCCAGGGCTCAAGGGATCCTCCTGCCTCAGCCTCCTGAGTGGCTAGGAGCACAGGCATACGCCACCATGCATGGCTTATTTTGTTTATTTTGTAGAGATGGAGTCTCACTATGATCTCAGGCTGATCTCTAACTCCTGGTTCAAGTGATCCTCCCACCTGAGCCTCCCAAAGTGCCAGGATTACCGGCGTGAGCCACCACACCAAGCCCACCCTGATGTTTTATATTCTACTTCTTATTTTCCCTAATTACTAAGTTGCTCTCAGGACTCACAGTTTGCAAAAACACCGTTCAGGCCTAGCCCACTGCGGCAAACGTTCTGCCTAAATTCTCCCTGTGGCAGACATGTACACTGGTGGTCTCCAATGAACTTTATCTCCTGGGATTCATGCCCTTCCATGCCTACTCTGGGCTTGACCATATGACTTACTTTGACGAATGGGACATTAGCCAATGTGATGTAAGCAGAGGCTTGATAAGCACCTGTATACTGGGGCTTGTCCACTCAGAATCCTTCCTCTTGGAAACCGGCTGCCATGTTATAAAGCAGCTTGAACTACGCTATGGGATGATGAGATGCCCCATGGAGACAGAACCTACAAGAGAGGTCATCCTGGACACTGTGGCTCCAGTTGAGCTCCCTGCTGAGCTCCCCGAATGTAGCTAAATGACTGACCACAGCTACATCATATAGGTATATGAACTGCCCAGCCAAGCCCAGGAAACATACACAACTGTGAGAAAGAATAACTACATTGCTTTAAGCCATGAAGTTTAGGGATGGTTTGTCATGCAGCAATAGATATCTGATATCAAGTTTATTCTGAGAGGCAACAGGTCCCACTAAAATGATTTGCTTCCCTATATTCTTTTGCAACTAGGAGAGACCATAAACAAGGACACAAACTGGGAAAACTCTGTGTTCCTGACACAAGGAATATCCCTTTCAAACTGCTCCCTCACTTCTTTCTTCTTCCAGTCCAAAGGCAAACATTACATGGAGAGGCAGAGCAGCCTTCTTTCAGTGAGGAGGCAACTTAGCACAATGAACTAGTCAAGAACTACAAAGGAGTGTTGCCTGTGAGGAGAGAAGTTAGCACTCCCTTCCACAGGATGGAAGAGGCCCTTGGGCCTGACAACACACAAAAGCACTGCCACCTACTTTGTGGCATCTAACCATTGTTTTTTAAAAATAAATAAATAAATAATAAAATTAAAATTACCAAAAAAAAAAAAAAGAATTGCAAAGTAGAAGGAGGGAAATAGTTTCGTCCTTAGCATCATGGAACCACCATTCCAGCCTTTGGACTTCTTGTTATATGAGAAAAACAAACCCCTACATGATTAATTTTCTGTTGTGTGCAGCCAAACACATTCCCTATGAATATGATCAAACTCAGAGAAGGCTTTTGCCTGGAACTACAGAGTGAGTCAGCAGGAGGGCAGGACAACACTCAGCCTCTTGATTTGCAGTAAAGTACTTTTTCTATTACACTATCCTTAAAACATGCAGGCAACTGGCCAGGGCCCCAGGCACAGGCACACCCAAAGAAGACCACATCCAAACCAAACCAACTCACCATGACTCATTCGTCTTAGTGTTTATTTCAAGTTTCTTAAGAGAAAGGTGACAGGCAATTAAAGATGTCACAGGAAACCACAGCAAGACTGGCCCAGTGCCTCTGAGTAGGAACAGGTAAGTATGATTGCATACAGCTGGCTCTGGGAAGTCTGCCATGATGGAAAAAGCAAGTATTAGAATCCAAGGAGAATACACGCAGCTAAACAACCAAGCCATCATAACCCTGTATCCTGGGATTTTCCTGAACAGCCCCTATTTCAAATATCCTGTGCTATTGTAGGATTACATCAAAACTATGTGTCCTGATTTTTGACTCAGAAAATGTGGTCACAGTAACCACCAAATCCATCTCCCTGCACCTCCCCACCTGCTTGACAAACACTGAAATCCATTTAACGAGGAACAAAAGTCTTCTATTCCACAGTTGAGAAGGCTGAGTGTAAAACTCTCTCTGGTGGAAAAACCTGGAGACATAAACTTCTCATGGAATTATGCCATGTGCCCTAGAAATTGAGAGCACCACACTTCCCAGATTTCACCCTTTTGCTGAGCTTGGCCCTGAGATGACTAATGGCAGGAGCTCTTGGCTACTCTCTGCCCTCATCCTCAAGACCAGGCATAGAGCACTTGCCTCTATCCTTTTCCAGGCCAGACTTCCTGGAGGTCTGGAGGGTCATAGCATCTCCCTTTTGACCAGTGCTCAGCACTGCCACCCAGTCTGACACCCTGCCCTACACAAGAACCCCTGCCACACAATCCCTTTCTCTCAGCTCTAATACCTGGAATTAATGGGACCTTACTACCTCCAAGCCAGATTATGCGACTATCTCGCTTTGTCACCCAGCTGAGGTACAGTGATGCAGTCGTGGCTCGCTGCAGCCTCAAATTCTCAAACTCCTGGGCTCAAGCAATCCCCCTGCCTCAACCTCCTGAGAAGCTGAACGATAGGCACACACCACCAGCCCCGGCTAATTATTTGTATTTTTTGTAGAGACGGGGTCTCATGATGTTGACCAGGCTGGTTTTGACCTCTGGCCTCCAGCAATCCTCCTGTCTCAGCCTCCCAAAGTGCTGAGGTTACAGGCATGAGCTACCCATGCCTGGCCCTTTGTACCTCTTGATACTCACCTGAAATCTGATTGGTCCTTTTCCTATCCCCATAGACTTATAAAAACCTGGTGGATGCCATCTTTCAGCCAGGATCCTCTGTCTTTCATTCTCCTGGCTTTGCCATGATAGGTAGGCTCAGTTTGTCATAAGACATGTTCCCCAATCACCTCACAATTAGCTTACCAGGAATCAGAAAGAGAAATAGGAATGGTAGCCAGAATGGGGATGGCAGTTCCCCACCCTCTATCTATACCCGTCCCAAGACCTCAAGCTGTCACCAAAAAAGCAGTGAAGCTGAAGCCCAGGAAGTACTCACTCACAGTCTGTCCTACTGCCTCAGCGCCAACCTGCCACTATGTCTGAGAGAAAGATACCAGTTGCTGTTGGTAAAGTAAAACTTCAGCACTTCTTAACCCAAGAAGGGCCCTCTGAGCTAACAAACTTACTCCCTTCTCTTGCAAAGAGACAGACAGACAACCAGAGAGAGGGATTGGCCTGAGGGCAATGGTAGCAGAACTGAGTCACAAATCCCCAGCTCTGACATAAGGTCTCATGCCCTTTAAACCACATCATGGGCCCAGCGCAGTGGCTCACGCCTGTAATCCCAGCATTTTGGGAGGCTGAGGTGAAACACTTGAGGTCAGGAGTTCAAAACCAATCTGGCCAACATGGGGAAACCCTGTCGCTACTAAAAATACAAAAAAATTAGCTGGGTGTGGTGGCGGGTGCCTGTAATCCCAGCTACTGGGGAGGCTGAGGCAGGAGAATCGCCTGAACCTGGGATATAGAGGTTGTAGTGAGCCAAGATCACGCCACTGCACTCCAGCCTAGGTGACAGAGTGAGACTCCATCACACACACACACACACACACACACACACACACACACACGATGATCCCCTACACTGCAGCAAGGATCACATGAAAACAAACCAAGAAGCACTGGGACTCACTCCGCTCAGTTCTGCCGAAAGAGAAGACCCACTGGTAGATAGTTTTAGGAGTTAGGAAAAGTTATCCACCAGTGTGTAGGGAGTCCTCAAGACCACTTACTTTCAGATTCAGTGATTCATTTGCGGGACTCAGTGTATAGTCATACCCACGGCTATGATTTATTACAGCAAAGGGGTACAAAGAAAAATCATCAAAGGGAAAAGTCCAGAGGAAATCAGGTGCAGATTTTCCAGAGTCCTCCCAGTAGAGTCACAGGATGTACTTAATTCTTCCAGCATGGGATTGTGACATGTGTGAAGTGTTTTCTACCAGGGAAATTCATTAGAGACCCACTGTGAAAGGTCTATATTGGGGGTTGGTCACTTAAGCGCCTTCTGTCTAGCACGTACCAAGATTCCAGACTCTCAGAAGGAAAGCAGACATTCAGCCTAAACCACAATGTTTGCACAGTTTAGGCACAGTGAACCACTCTTATCAGTTAGGGTAGTATAAACACCCCCAAAATCCAACTTCCCAGAAGCCAGCCAACGGCCAACCTTGCCGGCAAGCCTTTTTTAAGAATAGCAGTCTCAGGCCTGCTATGTTCATTCTTTTCTGTACAACCAACCTGCAGTGAGGTTTTAAAAGGTCAGCCAGACACATAGAGAGGCCATCAACCCACATAAAAGATAATACATTTGTGATAATCAGCCACTTACTTCTTCACCCAGTCCCATCCATACTACCTTCACAAACATGTAAGCCTTCCATTGTTCTGTGTCTGCATTGTCTCCACCCCAGCCTAGCCCCATCATCTCTCCCAGCCTGCCAAAATAGCCTCCTACTGGTCTTCCATCTTCTACACTTGCCCCATTCATTCTTCACATATTGGCAGAGTGGTCTTTTTAAAGTGAAAACTGGACAAGGCCTCTCCTACTTTTAAACCCCCTCAAAGTCTTCCTATTGCACTTTATTAGAATAAAGCCTAAAAGAGAAGCCCTGAAGACCCCCCAAAATCTGGCCCCTGCCTACCTCTCTAACCTCAAATGAAAGCAGCCTCCTTCTCTTTTCTTCCATTACCTTCATCGCATTCATCACATCTTGTGGTTATTATGTATTTGTTTTCTTGATTAGTTCCTGTCTGTCACACCATGAACAAGCCCCAGGGGGACAAGAACCATGGCGGCCTTGCTCACCACTGCAGACCCACATGCCAAGTAGGGTAGCCACACTCAATATATAGTGAACGCATGAATAAATGAGGGAGTAAACAGACAGATCAGGCATCAGATAGGTGGGCATATGGAGAATGGGTGGACCAGAACACAGAGGTACTTGGCATGACCATATGAGCTCTTGAACATCATCTGGCAGTCTGCAGACTTTTAAAATGCATTTCTGGCCGGGCACAGTGGTGTGTGCCTATAGTCCCAGTTTCTCAGGGGCCAAGGCAGAAGGATCACCTGAGCCCAGGAGGTTGAGGCTGCAATGGGCCAAGATCACGCCACTGCACTCCAGCCTGGGTAATAAGAGCGAGATCTTGTCCCCAATATATAAATAAATAAAATGCATTTCTTCCCAACTGCATTATCATTCTAGGAGGTATAAATATCCTTATCCACATTTTGCAGATCATAAAAGTGAGGTTCAGAGAGATGAAATGACTTGCCTAAGGCTACACAGCAAGCAAGCAAAAGAGCCAGGATTCAGACCCATGTTCAGAGGAAAACAGCCTCATAAGAGCAGGACCCAACGTCTGCCCTTGTCCTCAGGCAACCTGATTGGCCCTCCACTTTGCCAAACAGACCAGCACTGGCTATGATAAACCTCTGGCAATGTCAGAGCTTAAGGAAAGCAGAAATTTTTCATAGCCCTGGAAGGACAGCTTCCTGTAGAGTTAGTTACAACAACCAGGCCTGTTGGGTGAGTGGCCCAGCCCTCCCATAGGGCTGGAGCTGTAAAAAGTAGTTCACTGCCAACACAGTAGCCAATATCACCCCCTACCAGGCTAGGAACCCTGCTCCACCCTACAGGCTCTGGGACATCTGTGGGAGGTCACTATTCTAGCCTGCCTGCCGAGCTCCAATGGAAAAGGAAACCCTATCTGGGCTGGCCAGGAGCCAGAGCAGCTCACAAGGTACTGTGCCTGGGTGCCAACCTCACCCTTGGCCCCCACAATTCAGCCATCAGCTTCAAACACTGGGAAGATTGTACCAAGCCCTACAAGCCAGCAGTCAGTGACTTGCCTGAGAAAGATTCCCAGAGCTGGGCCTCAAGAGTCCTGGCAAGGAGAACAACCTTCCATTCTCTCTAATGGGCAGGCTGCCCAAGATAGCTGCCTAAGCCAGGCACAGACAGACCCAATGGGTACTGACAAGGGGCCTCCTACCTAGGGAGGTTTGACTGGAAGGAAAAAGGTTGTCACATGTTACAGAGCTTCAGGGTCTCAGAGAGGAAGTGATCAGGGGAGAAGAAAACCATCCTGGTTTTGGATAAAGGGGCTGCTTAGAAATTGTACTCCTGCCGGGCGTAGTGGCTTACGCCTATAATCCCAACACTTTGGGAGGCCAAGGTGGGTGGACCACCTGAGGTCAGGAGTTCGAGACCAGCCTCAGCAACATGCTGAAACACCGTCTCTACTAAATACAAAAAGATTAGCTGGTTGCAGTGGCACATGCATGTAGTCCCAGCTACTTGGGGGGCTGGGGCAGAATAGCTTGAACTTGGGAGGCAGAGGTTGCAGTGAGCCGAGATTACACTATTGCACTCCAGCCTGAGCAACAACAGCAAAACTCAGTCTCAAAAAAAAAAAAAAAAGAAAGAAAAACAAATTGTACTCCTGACCCAGCCCACTTAGGAAGGAAGAGGAAGAAAGTTAATATATACTGAGGGCCAAACACTTTACACACTTTGAATAATTACAGCAAGCCTCCGAGGTTTATTCTTTCCACCTTACAGAGAAAGGAACTAAGGCTCAAAAAGCAGAAGAGACTTGCTCAGGGACCTGCTGACCAGTAACTGGCAAACCTCAGGCTTAAACCCAAGCCTCCAACCGCCCAAGCCTAGGATTTTCCACTCTAGCATGCCATCACACACACTCAGATGAGAGAATGGTTCCAGTTACTTTAGAAAATATAATGAGAGACATTCAAAACAGCAGAGAAGAAGGTAAAATACCTAGGCATAAATTTATGGAGAAATATTTTAATACTATAAAACACCCTGAAATATGAGAAATATACTTGATCAATGAGAAGATGCAAGGACTGAACATAGGCTGGGCACAGTGGCTCATGCCTGTAATCCCAGCATTTTGGGAGCCAAGGTGGGCAGATCACCTGAGGTCAGGAGTTCAAGATCAGCCCGGCCAACATGGCAAAACCCATCTCTAGTAAAAATACAAAAATTAGCCGAGCGTGGTGGCACATGCCTGTAATCCCAGCTACTCGGGAGGCTGAGGCACAAGAATCACTTGAACGTAGCAGCAGAGGTTGCAGTGAGCCAAGATCGCACCACTGCACTACTCCAGACTGGAGACCCTGTCTCAAAAAAAAAACAACAAACATTTCAGTACCATAAAACAGGGTAAAAAATGTATATATTCAATATTATATAATACCAGCAGTTCTCCCTACGCTAGTTTAATTTATATATCTAACATCACTCCGGTGAACGTAGCCTTGGTATTTGGGAGTGAAGGAAGAAAAACAGACAATATTATAATAAAATATATTTGGAAGCACAAATAAGCAAAGTAGCCATGAAAATCGTGAAACAAGAGGAAAATAGGAAGGGGTTAGACACAGAAGACACGCCATCAATTTATAATAGGTTTTAGGGGCCTCTCAAGGGAATGAAGAAGGAATAGAGCAGAGAGCCCTGTCACTTGTACCTCCAAATTTTCTCAACTGTGTCACCTTCCTCCATCCCCACTGCTACCTGCCTAGTCTCACCGGACTACATCCTCACCCGGCTTCATTCTCTCCCTCCCAATTCTACTCTAACCTTCCTAGCTTTCTTTCCATCTCTCAAACACGGCAAGCTCTGTGTGTGCTTCTCTCTCTCTTTTCCTGGAATGTCCATCACACCCTTCACCCGGCTAAATTTGATTCCCCCTCCAGGTTGCAGCTTAAATGTCACTCCAAACATGCCATCCTCAACCACCCAATCCAATGTGAGTTCTCGGCCAGACATGGTGGCTCATGCCAGCCTTTGGGAGGCCGAGATATGTGGACTTGAGGCCACAAGTGTGAGACCAAATCTAGCCAACATGGTGAAACCCCATCTCTCCTAAAAACACAAAAATTAGCCAGGCAGGGTGGCATGTGTCTGTAATCTCAGCTACTCAGGAGACTGTGGCAGGAGAACTGCTTGAGCCCAGGAGGTAGGTGGAGGTAGCAATGACCCAAGATCGTGCCACTGTACTCCAGCCTGGGCAAGAGAGCAAGACTCTGTCTCAAAAAATAAAAATACAAATAAAAGTGAGTTCTTCCCTTTACTCTGTCTCTCAGTACCCTTTAATTTTCCTTCCCTGTCCTTATCAGAGTTTGAAATTATATATTTATTTGCATGCTTATTTGTTAAATCTCTTTCTCTCCCACAAGACTATGAGCTCCATGAAGGCAGGCATGGGATCTACCTTGTTTGCCACAATATACCAGGAACCCGTCACCAGATCTAGCAAACAGTAAACACTCAATAAATACTTGTTGAAGAAATGAATGTATAAATTGAGAATTAGGTCACTGGGAGTCTGCAAAAGGGAGAATGAATCTCTTTCAAGTATCTCTCTACCAGGACCAGAATGAAAAAGAATCTGTTTCCCACAGGAGATGGCTCCCTTGTGTGTGTACACCAGGACATAAGAATCTCAGGAGCAAGCACCAGTCACAGTGGCTCACACCTGTAATCCCAGCACTGTAGGAGGCCAAGGAGGGTGGATCACAAGGTCAGGAGTTCAAGGCCAGCCTGACCAATGTGGTGAAACCCCATCTCTTCAAAAAAAAAGAAGAATCTCAGGAGCAAATGAGTGGGGAAATGTGTGCCGCCTTCCATAGGCATCAAGATTCTTCTTTCGTTTTATTCCTATCTCTATAGATTCTTAGCCTAAGATTTTAACAGAGAATATCACAACTAACTATGGGAACTGGGAATTACCCAACAGCTTTCAAAGCAGCCTGCAAATGATGGTAAGCCGAGGCTGCCCTCTGGCACCCTCCTCTGCGTGGCCAGGCCACATATCACAAATCATCATGGCTTGTATACCCTTTGTATATCTTTTTTTTTTTAAGTTCTCAGAATACAGCAGGCACTTTGAAAACACTTGTGTATTCAAAGCAAAATAAAACCAACAAGTTGATATGTGCGTATTTGAGAAAGAAACTAGCAGACCAAACAGAAAACCTGTGGGGACAGGGTTTCTTACCCAGCTTCTGTTTAGAGATTGGGACTACACAGCTCCTGCTGCAGCCAAACGTGCAGCATTTCTTTACACCTGGACATGTCTCATCAGTGATGCACCGTTTCAAGCAGGATTGTTTCCGAATAACCCTAGGGCAATCTCTTTTCCTCCCTGTAGCAAAAAGGGAGACAACCAAGAAAAGGGAAATAATACCCACAAGCACAGCAGAAGGGAAAAACAGAAAAAGGAAGCCCTGAGCTTCATTTCAGCCTCTGATCCTGGTGCTAAGGCAAAGACACAATAATAACAACAATAGTAATAGTAAACATTTACTGTAACATTTACTGATGTTTACCTTGTGCCATGAACATCTGATTTGATCCTCACAATCATCCCCATTTTATAAATGAAGAAACTGAGGCTAAAAGCTTAAGGTTTACAAACAGCTAAGGCTTATTTAAGGCTTAAAAAGGTCTGCTTGGCTCTAGGGTCTACTCTCTTAAGGATTATCTTTTTTTTTCTTTCTTTCTTAACCATTATCTTAAACAGGCTTCCCTTTACAACTCTTCCCTCCAGCCTTCACAGGAACTTTGATCCAAAGTAAAAGACATAGATAATCGATGTATTCTTTCCTGATGGAAGGCAAAGAACTGGGGGCACTGAATAATTAATGGAGCAGAGACCCTAAAAGAGTAAAGAAGTACTCTAGGCAAGCTAGACTTCAAGAGGCAACCTAAGAGGTGGGAAGCTCTCTGCTTCTGTCTATCCCAGAAGCAAGATCAGAGAGTACACCCAGATTTTGCCCTTCATGCCAACATACCCTTGGGAATGTCTCGGCAGATCCAACCACAGCCTGTGGTGCAGCACTTCTGCCCAGCCGGACATGATGCATCACCCTGGCACAGCTCTTTGCATGGGTTCTTATCAGGAGGGCATTCTCCCTCTTTCACTGCAAAAGATATCATATGAGCTTGGGGTAACTAGCCGGGCCTCAGAAAATGGGGAATGGAGGCCAAACTATTTCAAGGACATTCAGCCCCTCCAGACATCTCTATCCAAAGTATTTCTGCACCACTACGCTCTAGCCTGGGTGACAGAATGAAACCCTGTCTCTAAAAAAAGGAAAATTCTGAAAGCACCTTCCCCTCCCAGCACACAACTACTAACATACACCCACCACTACTAAAGGAGCAGCCATCCTGCAGACGAGAGAGAAAGGTTGGAATGATCCTGTTCTCATTTAATGAGTTCTAGGGAAAAGCTAGAACCTCCAATAAGCCCAACTAGAAGTCCTATTTCCTTGTCCAGAGAGGATAAAGAAAGCCAGGAAGAACCACCCAGGCCATCCTGAGAATCTGTTCATCCAGTCCTGTCCTACAGATGATCATCTCCACCTATGAGTGAGTTTGCTCTGGGAGAAGGCAGGGGATGACTTCTCCTTTCCTCTAGTCACTTTCTGTTACTGTTGGCTAGGGATTCCAAATGATAGCTCACCATGTTCTCCTGTAGTTATCCAGGATTCCAGGGACCCAAGAGCAAGAAGAAAGAGGCAGCTTAACATCATGATGATGCTGAGAGTTGGGATGAGAGCTCAGTTCAGGCCAGAGGTGTACACCTTGCCCAGAGTATCAGCTGATGTACGGGCAGGAATAGGGATGGCCCCAAACCCAGACCCAAAGCCTTCCCTTTCGCAATACGCCCCTAGAATGTCTTCTCCTGATGAGAAGAGGGATTGGCTGCAGAGCATGGGAAAATTCCTGGCACTACCAGAGGGCACATGTGATGGGAGGATCACACTATATAAGCAATATGCACAACACTCCTGGATCATGAGGAACCTAGTGGGTAACTGGAAAAATGGAGGAATGGCCACTGGAATAAGAATCAAAGAGAGCCCCAAAGGGCATTGGAAGGACACGGCTTCAGCCCAAATGACAGAGGGAGAAACTAAACATGATACTTAAGAAAATAGTCAAAGCTGATAACATAACCAAGCATAATAAAATTGTGGCTCCTATTCATCCTAGCAATTTAGAAAAGACAGAATGGAACAGACCACTCAGAAACTATCAAATAGGCTGAGCTATGCAGATCGCCCATGGTCAGGAGTTCGAGACCAGCCTGGCCAACATGGTGAAACCCTGTCTCTACTAAAAATACAAAAATTAGCTGGATGTGGTGGCACACGCCTGTAATCCCAGCTACTTGGGAGGCTGAGGCAGGAGAATCGCTTGAACCCAGGAGGCAGAGGTTGCAGTGAGCGGAGATTGTGCCACTGCACTCTAGCTTGGGTGACAGAGCAAGGCTCTGTCTCAAAAAAAAAAAAAAAAAAGAAAAAAGAAACTATCAAAAACCTACAGAAAAGCAGTAGTTGAGTTTGTTAAGAACTAATGTAAAAGCACCAAACAGGTGCTTTGTCCCTCTAGCCCACACAGGCCATTATTGGACTGTATGAAGGCTAGCTGGCAGAACCCAAGAGAATAGTTGCTATGTCTGACTCAGTCTGCCCACACATACCTCCTTTTTCTTTTTCCTCTATTTCTTTTTCTTTATCTGTCCTGCTCATGCATTTGGTCAGCCGTGACACCTAATGGTGTCCACTGGCACTGCTTAGTCCTATGGACAGAGAATATTCAAGGTCCAAGGTAAAAACCTCCTTAGTAAGGCCAAAAAGTTTGAAGCCAGGAAGTTGCCCTTATTGTTATAAGGCTGGTGTGGCCTCTGGAGATAATTAACATTTGATGATGACCTAACATGCGCCTAATATGCTTTTTGTTTTGAGACAGAGTCTCCCCGCCACCCAGGCTGGAGTGCAGTGGCCCGATCCCAGTTCACTGCAACCACTGCCTCCCAGGTTCCGGCAATTCTTGTGCCTCAGGCTCCCAAGCAGATGGGACTACAGGCACCCAACATTACCCCTGGCTAATTTTTGTAGTTATAGTAGAGATGGGGTTTCGCTATGTTGGCCAGGCTGGTCTTGAACTCCACCCACCTTGGCCTCCCAAAGTGCTGGGATTACAGGCATGAGCCACCATGCCTAGCCTGCATTATATATTTTAATCCTCACACTTACCTTGCAGAGGTAAGAAAATGGATTCAGAGGAGCTAAGAAAAAAATGCCTGTAAGTGGTAGCCACTGGAATTTCATAATAGTAACTACGGACAGCATTGTTTGAGGGTTTACTCATGCTAGTTTTAAGCACTTTACATGAGTTAACTCACTAATCCTCACTGCAACCCTACAAACTACATGCTGTTATCCCCATTTTACAGTTGGGAAAATGAAGGCACAGAGAGTTTAAGAACTGTGGGTCACACAACTAATAAGTGGTGAAACAGAGGCAAGCAGTCCAATTCCAATTCCATAGCCAGTCCAATAGCCAATTTTCTTAACCACCATACAATACCAAATTTTAACCCAGATATTTCTAACTGCAAGACTCATGCAATTTCCACTACTCTTGTATTGTGACTTGGAAAGAGTAACAGGCTCTACCACCATAAATGGATCCAATTATATTCAGGGATGTCTTACCTCTGCGACAGAGCTAAGGGAACCTCTGGAGAACTCCACCTTGTTAAGTTCCTGCATCCCCAGCCCATCCCAGAATCACCTGTCTGGGGACAGAGGCTCAGATCTTTGGGACTGGTCAACACACAGCCTTCATTCTGGTGCGTTCAGACACAAGAGGCAGCCACTGGGGTCGAAGCCTGGAGAGACCCAGTGAGTGTTTTGGGATGGCACGGACTGGAGGCCCCTTTGTTGAGTGCCCCAATCTTCGCATTAGGCCCACTCCAATGTTGGAGGCTGAGGGTCCAGAATATTAAAATCTTTTTTTTTTTTTTCACTCTGTTGCCCAGGCTGGAGTGCAATGGCACGATCTCAGCTCATTGCAAACTCCGTCTCCCGGATTCAAGAAATTCTCTTTGCCTCAGCCTCCCAAGTAGCTGGGACTACAGGCGCGTGCCACCACGCCTGGCTAATTTTTGTATTTTTAGTAGAGACAGGGTTTCGCCATGTTGGCCAAGCTGGTCTCGAACTCCTGACCTCAAGTGATCTTCCCGCCTCGGCCTCCCAAAGGGCTGAAATTACGGGCGTGAGCTACAGCGCCTGGCCGACCATATTAAAATCTAGCTTTCAAAAACTGAACTGCAGGCGCCACTGTACCAAACGCTTCCCTCTGCTCCCCAACCCCAGCCTACAGAAACCTGCTCCCCTCCTCCTACACCGCAGTCATCCACCGGCTTTGGCCCAGCGGGGAACATCCCTTGACTGAACCGCCACTGAACACCCACACTCCACAATCGAGGCGCAACCCTCCCGGGAGGAAGCCCCAACGACCTCCACGCGCAAGGCCTCTATATAACACTGTCCCCGGCAAGGGACGGTGGCTCAGTTCCCATGGTAACCCGCAGCTCCTGCGTCGCGCTTCCGGGCTGAACAGCAGCGCGCTTCAGTGACGTCACGGAGCCACCTTCTGGCCGGTGGCACAGTCGAGCGAAGTAGTAGGGGCCGGGGGCGCCATGGGAGCCACTGGCGACGCCGAGCAGCCGCGGGGACCCAGCGGGACCGAGCGAGGCGGCTTGGAGCTGGGGGATGCGGGCGGAGCGGGGCAGCTGGTTCTCACGGTGAGGGCGCCCCGGGGGAGGCCTGGGCTCGGGCAGGGCAGGGCCTCGGGTTTCCTGGGACCCTGGCCCGCGGGCGAGAGAATGCGGCGGCTGGAGCTGCAGAGGGGTTGGCGTTTTCGCAGCCCGACGACCTGGATTCAAATTCTGGTGCCGCCCGCCTAGCTAGGTGATGTGGGCCGATTCTGTCAACCCCTTGAGCCTTAGGATCCTCTTCTATAAAATGGAGATGGTTAGTACCTGTCTCATAAAGTTGTGGGATGGGAAAATAAAGGCGGATACAGCGCCCAGTACATCACCTGGCACAGAGTTGACCCACGGTATACACTGCTTCCCTTCTTCCTGCCGTGCCAGAAAGGCGGGGTAGGGACTTTTAAGGCAGGAAACTTCCTTTGTTCCTCTTTTCTGGCGCGCAAAGCGGAGGCCTTCCAACTGTTATCCTCCCCCGCTACCCCAAGGTGGGAGAGATGGTGTCGAATCTGAGAAACAGGGATGTCTAGATTTAACTTCATACCCACCCTCCACTTCCACCCCATCCCAATGTCACCAACCGCAGTGATATTTATTCACTTGGTCCCCCACAGAACCCTTGGAACATAATGATAAAGCACCGGCAGGTGCAGCGGAGAGGCCGCCGCTCACAGATGACGACAAGGTAAGGCTGGCCCTGCATGGGACTTATATCCCAGCCACTGGCTTACATGGCAGCTTTGGGATCCCCAGTGCACAAGGCTATGGAGATCTACAGCCGGTAAAAAAAACACAGGACTGGGAAAGAGGAGACTCCGATTCTGTAACTCTGTGTGATTTTGAGCTAGTCAATTCACTTCCTTCTCTGAACTCATGTACAAAATGGGAAAGGGTGCAAGACATGGGTTGTAGAGTAAACAATACCTAAGATCCCTCATATTCACCGGCTCTGTGGTTGAGGACTCTAAAGAGATCAGATAGCATGGAGTTTAAGAGCACAGGCTCTGGAGTCAGACAACTGTGTTCTTGTGCAGACTCTGATGAGCCCCTATTTTCTCAACTGTAAGAGTGATTAATAGTATCTTCCTCAGAAAAGGGAGAGAGCACAAGATGGACCTTTGGGATGCTGGTAGTGGTGAAATGGATGTTCACTGTAATTACTCATTAAAGTGTATAGACTTTTCTGTATTATATTTCATAAAAACACTTTGATGGCCGGGCTCAGTGGCTCACGCCTGTAATCCTAGCACTTTAGGAGGCAGAGGCGGATGAATCACCGTAGGTCAGGAGTTCAAGACCAGCTTGATCAACATGGTGAAAAACCCCCTCTCTACTAAAAATACAAAAATTAGCCAGGCGTGGTGGCACACGCCTGTAATCCCAGCTGCTCAGGAGGCTGAGGCAGGAGAATTGCTTGAACCCAGGAGGCAAACGTTGCAGTGAGCCAAAAACCACTGCACTCCAGCCTGGGTGACAGGGTGAAACTCCATCTCAAAAAAAAAAAAAGAAAACACTTTGAAAATAATACCCACGGCTGAGCACAGTAGCTCACACCTGTTATCCCAGCACTTTGGGAGGCCAAAGTGGGTGGATCAGGAGATCAGGAGTTCGAGACCAGCCTCCTGACCAACATGGTGAAACTCCATCTCTTTAAAAAAAAAAAAAAGAAAGAAAGAAAATACCCACTTCATAGAGTTATTATGAGAATGAAATAAAGTCATGCCTCTGTGATTTGCACAAAATCAGAGCATGTAGCTAGTTTTCAATAAAAGCTGTCTAGTATTGTCAAAGGATTCTATGTCCAAAATTGACTGGGCAGGCTGGGAAAGAATATGTTTGGGACATGCTCCCTCACCCTGTCTCCCTCCTGAATGCAGTTTCACAGATCCTGCCATCTCCATGGATCTGCTTCGTGCTGTCTTGCAGCCTAGCATCAATGAGGAGATCCAGACTGTCTTCAACAAGTACATGAAGGTGAGAGGGACACAGGATAAAAGAATAACAAGGGAGGCCGGGCACACTGGCTCATGCCTGTAATCCTAGCGCCTTGGGAGGCTAAGGCAGGCAGATCACATGAGGTTAGGAGCTCAGCTTGACCAACATGGAGAAACCCTGTCTCTACTAAAATATGAAATTAGCTGGGTGTGGTGGCATATGGCTGTAATCCCAGCTACTCGGGAGGCTGCGGCAGGAGAATTGCTTGAACCTGGGAGGTGGAAATTGCAGTGAGCTGAGATTGTGCCATTGCACTCCAGCCTGGGCAACAAGAACAAAATTCCGTCTCAAAAGAAAAAAAAAGAAGTATTTATTGAGCCACTACCATACTACCAGGCACTATTCCAAGCACTGGGGATGTAGCAATAAACAAACAGTTACTCTCTGTAAACAGTGACAAGGTAAGGATGACCCTACATGGGACTTATATCCCAGCCACTGGCATGCATAGCAGCTTTGGGATCCCCAGTGCACAAGGTAACAGTAGAAAGAATAGAGGACTGGTAAAGAGGAGACTCTGAGCTTCAAGTGATCATCCCACCTCAGCCTCCCAAGTATCTGGGATTATAAGTGTGCACACCACACCTGGTTAATTTTTTTGTATTTTTAGTAGAGACAGGGTTTCACCATGTTGGCCAGGCTGGTCTCAAACTCCTGACCTAAAGTGATCCTCCTTCCTCAGCCTCCCAAAGTGCTGGAATTACAGGCATGAGCCACTGCGCCTGGTCTACTGTCAAGTATTTTGGTCGTGTCTCTAAGTCAGTATATAATAGTTCACCCCAATTCCTTTGTAATATTGGCAAAGTAGTCTATTTGATGGACTGGCTTCCATAAGCTACCCCCTAGAATATTCAGAATGTTTTGTTTTTCTCGATGACAAATAATACTACAATGAACACTCTGAATGTACATCTTTATTTACTTGTGAGGGTATTGCTGTGGGATAAATTCCCGGAAATGGAATTGGTGGGTATATGCAAAAACCTATCTTTCTGTCAATAAAATTGCTCTCTAGAAAAGTTATACCAGCCAGGTGCAGTGGCTCACGCCTGTAATCCCAGCACTTGGGGAGGCCGAGGCAGGCGGATCATGCAGTCAGGAGATAAGACCAGTCTGGCCAACATGGTAAAACCCCATCTCTCCTAAAAATACAAAAATGAGCTGGGTATGGTAGCCCATACCTGTAATCCCAGCTGCTCAGGAGGCTGAGGCACAAGAATCACTTGAAGCCAGGAGGCAGAGGTTGCAGTGAGGCGAGATTGCACCATGATCTGATTTCATTCTCGAATCCTGAGATGGCTTATACTTACCATATGTCCATTACACTGCCCACCTCACAGGCTGGTTGTAAAGTACCTAAACTATTTTAACTGGCTTTCAGTTAGTTGATATTGAACACCAGTATTCATCTCCAATTTTTAGGTTTTCGTTTTAAATTAAACTCATCTGATCATTTACTTTGGCCTGAAGTTTTAAGACCTTCCTCTTAAAACTCCTGAAGTTTCTAATCCAGTCCATTAGCACTCTTCTCCTTGGTTTGATGTTAACAACAGAGGCATTTAACCTTGCTAAATATGAAATGGCAGTACATTCCCATAATTGTCTCTCACAACAGAAGTGCTGGGTTTAGGTTCCAGAATTTTCCTATACCCCAGAGAGAACTGACACTTTTTCTAGGCATTACTTAACTAGACATCTTTTAGAGATGACTATTTGTACGAGTACATTTCCAGGTGCCTCATAGCTGTGTTTGGGACCTCATCACCTTACCTTCTCATGTATTCAGGCTCAAACTCTCCTGCTTACCCAGCAGAGAAACTTTCTTCCTTCCCTTTTCACAGCCAACTGGGGTTGCAGGCCTCCTGGTGCCTTTGTCAGGTCTCACTCCTCTCCATCCTATAGATGTTAATTTCAGACTGGGCAGTCAGAATTCAGTTAGGACTTTCTGCTCTCTTAATATCATCTGGCCTACCCTGGCCTATTCACTTCAGACACAGGCATTCTTTTTTTCTTCTACAGAAATATATGTAAATTATAAAAAGCAAAAGGATATAGATAATCCAAGAGAAGAAAACAGTCACC